CTCAGCCATCGCCATCGTCGCTGGACGACTCTGCCAAGTGGGCATCGACGACCGATGGTCGCTCGAGCCGGGAAACGTTAAGGCATGTCATCCACGCGGGCTCATGCCAGCCGCCCACGCGAAGAAGGTCGGTGACCGGTCCGCCCCTGGCAGCAATGTCCTGCGCGCGCCCGCGCCTGAGCGCGCGAGTGCCGAATGGCTCCGCGCCATGGCGCCCCATTTCGCCCAGCGCGCGGCGCAGCCGAGCACCCGCCGCGCCCAGGGGCCACGCAGCCCAGATGGGTCGGCGAGCTGGCTCGCCAATTAGCCAGGCCCCAAGAACGTGTGCGGGACAGGTGGCCGCGCACTCATCGCGCCAGCACTGCCGTGCCAACGCCGAGCGACTCTCGCGGTTCTTTCTTCTGGAGAGGTGCAGCTCGATCACTTGGTCGCCGACGTCGAACGCGGACGCCACGCAAGCTGCGGCCGCGCCATTTTCAACCCGCACCGCGGGCAGTGCCTCCGAAGGTAGCCGAAGGAGGAATCCGTGAGCCGCCAGGCACAACATGGCGAAACGGCGACCCTCGTCGCTGACGCGCAGGTGCGACACCAGGCGGGCGACGTCGCGGCCCTGAAGGGCGATGCGCGCCTTCGCTTGCCAGCCCGAACGCTCTCGATGGCGTTCTTAGCGGCGCGAACCGCCGGGTGCCTGAAGACGCCCGCGGGCCATGCGCGCCGACTGCCGCTGCGGGCGGGCGCGCGCGCTGCCGGAGGATGAGAGGTGGGCGCGCGCCTGCTCGCCACGAGGCACGCAGTTGCCGACGGCGCCGGCGCGCCTGAAGGTCGTGGACCACAGAGGCAGCCCCTCGAGGGCGGGCGGCAGTTCTTTCCACGCCGCTTTAAGACGCCCCTTGCGAATGCTATCCAGCACTCGAGCCCGCTGCTGAGCGCGGGCAACGAGCGCGGGCATGCGCCCGGGAGTGCGCTAACCGGGCCCTGCGCGCCCACGCTTTTCCGGCCGCTGGGGGTGCGCTGAGGGCCCCGGCCCTAGCTTCGGCCCGCTGCCCGCGCATGTCTCGGCGACCCTCGCGCCCGGCGATTGAGAGCGCCCGCCAGACAGCGGGCGCAGGGTCCGCCGGGGGAGCTGCACGTGCCCTGCCGCTGTCCTGGCGCCCGCGCTTAGCGCCGCGATCGACGCGCCGCGATTTCGCGCGCGCACCGTGGAGGATGGCGAGACTGACTCGCTCGAGGGCGTCCGCCTCGCGATGCCGGCCCTGCCCCGGCCGACGCGGGGCGCCCGCGGGCGAACGCGGAGCGCGCGAGAAGACTCGGGGGCAACCCCGGGCGAGGGAGCGGGCGCAGGGGTCGGGGGCCTTGAGACGGGGGTCAATGCAAACGGGGGTCAGCCAGAGCGCCAGATCTTGTAGAATCCTGCAGAGCCAGGGTCGCATTGACCCCGGCCTGGGTGCAGGATCCTGCAGGATCTTTCGCATATGACCCGGGCTTAGGTTCGGGTCGGGCGAAAGGGGGGGATAGCAAAGGGGGGGTTTGAGAATCAGCTCACGTAGCTGATTTTCCCGGCGCCTCCCGGCGCCAGAGGCGGCTATGTATCGAGGAATGGGCCCCTCGGTGAGGCCGAAACCAGCTGCATGCAGCAAATTTCGTAACCCCCCCTTTCCCAATCCCCCCCTTTCGCCCGACCCGATAGGTGCAGGATTTTGCTGGATCTCCCAGGATTCTGCAAGGCCTGATTGACCCGGGCCTGGACTGACCCGGGTCAGAAGATCCCCGAAGGGGGGGCGCCCATGCCGCCCCTGCCCAGCGAAGCTGGCGCGCCGCGGCTGCCGCGATAGCCGCGCGGGCCACCTCGCGGGCGTCGCTAGATAATGCCGCGGCGCCCCTGAAGTCGGCCGCGGTGAAGTCTACCAAATCGCTCACGGCGTCGGCGCCGTTATCGGCAAGCAGCGCGGCAGCAGCGAACGCAGGAATAGGGCGTGCCTCAGGGCAAACCACGCGAAGCTGAGCGATCAATCCAGCCAGCGCCATCACGCGAACACCGAATCAATTCGCCAGGTGCGCCGACAGTGCAGAGATGTTCGCACGCGCACGCAGGGCGAAGCGCGACCGCGACGCGGGCGAGGGAGGGCGCCAACACCTGCCCGGCCTGGCGGGCGCACCCTGACCGATGAGGGAAGACCAGATGCAATGCACGCGTGCCCAGCGCCCGAGCTGGTCATGGCCGGCGATGAGGAAGCCACGCGCTCGGGTCGAACCGCGCATCGTCCAGCACCAGAGGAATCCACTCCGCCCCCATGCGACACAGCAGGGAGTACGACTTGCGCGAGGGCAGGTCGGCGATATTGTCCGCCGACGCCACGCGATGAACGTGTAGATTGCAACTCTCGCCCAGCGCCATGCGCCAGATTGAGCGGGCCAGGCAAGCGTGGTCAAACTGCTTCGCCGCGCCGGACCGGACGGCCCACTCGCTGCCTGAAGTATCCGAAAAGATATTCACGCAGCGGCCCGACATGAGTGGCTCGAAGGTGGCCAGGCCCAGCGCGAATCCGACGCTGCTTCTGCTGCTGCCGTCGCGCGCGGGCGTCGCGGCTGCGCGTGATGACCACGGCCGCCAGGTGAGTCGGAGCGTGCGTGAGTCCGAGTATATGAGCGCGTCTGAGTATGATTGGGTACGAGTGCGTAACCCCTGGAACCCTATCTCAGGATACACGGAACATCGCGACGTCGAAATTCTGGCGCCCCTTCGCAGATGGAAGGGTCCAGGGGGGTCAGCCGCATTTGGACTGTCGGGTCCTTTTGAGACTCCTTCGGGACCTCTGGTTGCCTCTTGGAGCCTTACTGTGCCACTCTTCGACCACCTTAGCCATCCTCGGGCTTTTCTTGGGCGCCCTTCTATATTTGTTTTGAGGCACTCTTGGAGCGCTCTTCGAGCCACTCTTGGGCCCCCCTTGGGGGGCAGGGGCTAACGTCCACCCAATCTCGGATCATCTTGGAGCGCTCGCTCAGGAACTCCTCCCAAAACCATATTCGGCCGCCGCTTGGCACCCTGTTGGGGCCCCCCTGGGGCAGTTGGGCTAGCTATTCAGGGGTCCGTTTTGGCGCTCTTGTTGGGGTGTCGGAGCACCTCTTGTGGCCACTTTGGCGCCATTCTTGGAGCCCCTCCTGCGCTATATTCTGCAGCCTTCCCCTGGGGCCTTCTCAGGGGAAGTCTTGGGGCCCCGTCGGGCCTTCGCCTGGAGGCCCTCCGGAGCCTCTGAGTATGTCTCGTTCCTGTCTCGGGTCCCTGCCTGGGATCTCTTGGTGCCACGCTGGGGCCATCGTCGGGCCCTCCCGTGTCCCGCCCGGGGCCTCCTCCGGTCCTCCCCGAGCCTGCCGAGGCGCTCTCGGGATCGCCTTGGGCTGCCCTTTCGGCGCTGTCCTGGGTCCGTCATACCCTTGGGGCACCCCCGGGGCCTTCGTAGAACACCTGGTCTGGAGTTATCTCGGTTCGGCCCGCGCTCTCCGTTCATGCGTTTGTGCCCCATGCTCCCACTACGTGTGTAACTCCGGCCGTGGCACGTGTGCCTAAACATCTGCACGCCACCGTTACGCTGTCAAGGGTTGGAGCTTGCTAGCACGGAAGCGCGCGAAGCGCGCGCGCGTGGTTCCAGGAGGAGGAGGAGGAGGCGGAGGAGAAGGAGGAGGAGGAGGAGGAGGAGGAGGGGGAGGGGGAGGGAGGCGTGGTTCCTATCGTTGTCTTCGCCTCCGTCTCCGTCTCCGTCCGTTCTCTGACTTGCTGCCTCCGCACCTGGTCCGCATCCGTCCGCCTGCGCTTGCACGCCCAAGTGCTCCAATGCCTCCAGCCACCCTCTCGAGTGCGCTGCTTGCGGTACATGCCCCCTCCCCTTCCTCCTCCTCCTCCTCTTCCTCCTCCTCCTCCTCCTCCTCCTCCTCCTCCTCCTCCTCCTCCTCCCCTCCTCCTCCGCCTCCTCCTCCTCCTCCTCCTCCTCCTCCTCCTCCTCCACCTGCTCCCTCCTGCTCCTCATCCTTCTCCTCCTCCTCATCCTCCTCATCCTCCTCCTCCTCCTCCTCCTCCTCCTCCTCCTCCTCCTCCTCCTCCTCCTCCTCTATGTCCTCCTCCTCCTCCTCCTCCTCCTCTTCCTCCTCCTCCCTCCTCCTCCTCCTCCTCCCTCCTCCTCCTCCTCCTTTTCCGCCTCCTCCTCCTCCTCCCTCATCCCTCATCCCTGATCCCTTATCCCTCATCCTCCCTCCTCCTCCTCATTCTCTTCTTCCTC